CCTCCCTCCCTCCCTCCCTCCCTCCTCCTCTCTCTCTCTCTCCTCTCTCTCTCTCTCTCTCCTCTCCTCTCCTCCTCCCTTCCCTCTCTCTCCTCCTCTTACTCTCTCCCCTCCCTCCCTCCCCCTCCCTCCCTTCCTCCCTCTCTCACCGCCCCTCTCTCTCTCCTCTCTCTCATCGCGTCCTCTCTCTCTCACTCTTGCAGGGATCGTGACCTTCGCGAGCAGCGTCTCTCCAACGCCAGCAGCAAGACGCCGTCCTCCCCCGGCCGGCACGCCCAAGCCCTCCTCCTCCTCCTCGTCGGAGCCGCCGCCCTACCGCGGCTCCCCGGCGACGATCGACCGCCGCTCACGATCGCCGACGACGACGACGACGACAACGACGACGGCAACGGCGAAAACGGAGCGTGACGACCGCCGCGGCGCGCGGCACCAGCACCACCACCACCACCACCACCACGACGGAGGAGCCGGAGCCGGAGGAGGAGCCGGAGGAGGAGGAGGCGGAGTTTACGAGGCGGCGGCGGCGGCGGCAGCCCATCACCACGCGAAGGTCGACGTCAAGGTCAAGGAGGAGTGGCGCGACGACGGCGACGACGTGCGCGTGATCGCGTCGTCGGCAGGGGGCGCCGCCGACCGAGAGCCGCGCCCGGCGCACCTCAACCACGACTATCTGTCGCGCCTGCAGCAGCAGCAGCAGCAGCAGCAGCAGCAGCAACAACAACAGCAGCATCAGCAGCTGGGGCTGCCGCCGCCTCCTCCCTTCGGCCTCGGCGCGCTCTCCCTCGAGCGCGCGCGTGCGATGGCGGCCGCCGCGGCGGGCGGCGGCCCGTTCTCCCTGCCCCTGCCGCCCGGCGACCCGCGCCTCTCCTCGCGGCCCATGATGTGGGACGCGGCGGCGGCGGCGGCGGCGGCGGCGGCCCTCCGCGACCCCTACCGCACGCTCGACCCTTTCACGCACCACCGCGCCGCCGCCGCCGAGTTTGAGCGCGAGCAGATGATCGCGCGGCTGCACGGGGGCGGGGGCAACCCGCTCGGGTCGCTCATCGAGCACGAGCGGTACCGCGACACGCTGCCGGGCAGCGCGGCGTCGTACCACGAGCGGGAGCGTCGCGAGATGGAGGCGCGCCGCGAGATGGACCGCATCGTCGCGATGGAGCGCGAGCGGGAACGCGCCGCCCTGCAGCAGCAGCAGCAGCAGCAGCAGCAGCAGCAGCAGCAGCAGCAGCAGCAGCAGCAGCAGCAGCAGCGGCCGCCGATGACGGCCGCGGACGGATACGGCGCGCTCGGCGCCATCTACGCGCGGCTGGCGTCGTCAGCGTCGCCGCACGTGAATCACGGAGG